AAAAAAAAAAAAAAAAAAAAAAAAAAAAAAAAAAAAAAAAAAAAAAAAAAAAAAAAGTAAAATGAAAAAGTAAAAAAAAAACTTTTTTCAATCTATTTGCAAAACATTTTTCAAGCTGTTTAAATTTAATCCTGTTTATATGAACTTAGCTTACTTCTTGCTTTCATGAATAAAACTTAAGTTGATTTTACAGGAAAGAACCAGTCAGACCGACATACAATAGAAGCAACGTATTGACGGCGTAAGTCCGCAATCACATATCTCGTTTGCGGTGTCTGGAAATCTCCGCCTCTACGTTATTTTTTTTAAAGGAGAACAAATCGATATCATCTCTTGAAGTTTTTGCAGAATTTTTTTTGCACAGAGAAGAAAAATCACGACAGTTTTAAAGAATTGCTGTTGAGTAGTTTCCATTTAAAAATTAAAGTATGACAGGATGTCTGCGACGTCGTCGCAAACCGAGTCACACCGACTTACACCGTCAATGTTTGGAACAAGGAGTGAATATGTGTTTTCAAGAGATCTTCAATCTGAGTAAGAAAAAAATGTATGAGTGATTTTAAGGGAACACGTTTTTTCGGATGGATTGAAATCAACTGGAACATTGAGTATATATTTACCTCTCCCAAATGGCAATGACCCAGGCGATGAGATACTTTCAAACAATACCTCGGAATAGGCACCAAGTCACCCTGTCTGCATTTGTAGACCTGTCCCATCGCAGGAGCTATATTCCACGACACAGAAGGCACTGACATCTGTAAGATAAGTGAGACAATGAGATGCTTTGGGGCATAAGAGCACATTCTAGTACACATTTTAATTTGTACACGTGTGTGACCCCTATAATTTAACTTGCAATTTTATAATTTTTTATGGAGATTTTCTGTTTGGATTTATCTAATAATTTGTGACAAATGCACGGGGGGCCTCCATCCCCACTCGCCCGAAAAAAGAGAAAAAAGGGAAGAAAGAAAGAAGGAAAGAACAGAGGAAAGAAAAAGGAAGGACGCTTATATGTAGTAAGTATTCATGACGAAATTAACTCAAACTGAATTTCAGATGCTTTAAAATATCGAAAATTTTCTGGAAGAAGCCCCCTCCCCCCGGACCTCCCTTCCACCATTGTCGTTTGAAGTGTCTGGAATTTTCTGGAAGAAGCCCCCTCCCCCCGGACCTCCCTTCCACCATTGTCGTTTGAAGTGTCTGGATCCGCCTATGGACATATGTTCATTTATAAAGTGGTTGACCCTCGTAACTTTATGTTAAATACAAATGAGAACCGCTCATTTCAGGAATAATCTTAAATCTATTGAACGCAAAAGATACAGCTAATTACGTAGACCTGTAGGGTAAAATTGCGCGAAAGTCACATTAAGAAAAAAGAAATGTCTACAGCATTATCTTTATTCGTCTTATTCACTGACAATTAGATTTGCCCTCGAAGAGAGAATTGACAAGAATTTGACACCAGTAAAAATGGGCGATCGATCGTCAATGATTGACGATTAGATCGCCAGAGACGGGCGATCAAATCACCGACATTGCCAACAGTCATCACATTTTCGCGAATGGGGTGTATGTGCCTGGATTCGATTACTCTGTCACCCAGGGCCGGATTTACCTACTTGCCCATGGGCCGCCTGTATTTTCCCGCCCCTTATTCTCATTCGTTTTGAAACATCGATACAAACTATCAAGTGAACGTGCCGGAGAAGGCGGGGTGCATAAGACGCGTTTACTCGTGTTAGGCACATTTTATGTGAAAGCCGTGTCAACACTAGCAAAATTTCACGAAACTTTGCTCGAAAATTAGGTTAGGCCTTTCATTTAAAAGAGAAGAACGAAAAAATTATGAAGGAATAAACATGAATGTGGTATAATGATTTTAATTTCCTTCACCGCGCCAACGGCACTGCGTTCAACGCAATGCGTGAAGTATTCATGCAGTCTTGTAGGCGCTATGCGTTTCACGCCGACCGCTGCGCTGCTGACCGCACTACGTTTGACGCAATGCGTGAGGTATTCATGGAGTCTTGTAGGCGCTAATATGTGTTCCATGCTGACCGGCGCGCCGAGGGCTTTGCCTTTCCATCTCAAGTCCTCGTCATCATTGCTCTCTGCGCCGCGCCGCTCCAGGCCAACTTGCGTGTTTAGTTTCTCTCTACTAGACTAATGAAAGGTGCTGTCTTTTGTATCACCGAAAGACGAAAAAATCAGAAATTACTATACTGTAACTCTCAGGAAATGAGAGATTTTGTCGCCTTTTTTCGATTATAATTTTTTTTCTAAATTAGATTTTTTTCTTGATACCTATATTTGAAAAAAATTACAACATTTGCCGCCCCCTAAATTTGCCGCCATGGACCGCGGCCCATGTGGCCACCCCCTGAATCCGGCCCTGCTGTCACCACACACTTTTCGGTGTACATTCTTACGTACTTTAATTTTGCTGTTGCCGAGAAGAATCCCAATTTTTATTTTCTGTACGAAGGTGGATGTAAGATAACGAGCGCTACAAAATGGACATTTATTAGGAAGCTCTCTATACCATACTCCTCAGTACTTACTCTATGTTTTTCTCGCGGTGACGTATGATATCGCTTCCGTGTGATTGGTTCAGAGCCGGGATGCGGTGCGATTGGAATCCTCGGAGCGGCATGCAAAGTGTTTTGCAAGCTGTGAGTAGAATGTTTCGATCGATTATTGTCTACACCGTCTTTTGACTCTTCTAGATCTTGCAAATTATTGTCTGAAAAATACAGAACGATAGAGTGATTATACATTGGCAATGATATGCAGGTGTCACATAGATATCTTAAGCTTAAAATTCACGTCGTAATGCTTAGATGCATTGATAATTTTATGCAAGTGGCACGATAAGAAAAGTCGACGGATACACATATCGGGCATTGACCTCTCGTAAAGCTGGATGCAAATAATTTGTATTACAAAAATTTTGAAAGTTTGGAGACATCAACGCCTGACTAAGAAAATAGAATGTATTTCAAACATAATTCAATTATGGTCGACTTTTGAAAATTACCATTTTCGCCATCAAAACGACCTTAACCTAAAAAAGGATTCGAAAGTTTGGATACTTTTAAAATTTCGTATCGTTGCAACGGAGGTTGGCGGTTAGTCAAAAACTTAACCAAATCATCTCACGGAAACTAGCCAGAACTGGAAGTATTTCTGTCAAACGGAAGTGTAGACGAGTGGGAAAGATGGGGTGATTAAGGTGTGCTCTAGAACGCTGGATAAAAAACAATGTTAAAGTGGGCGTGATTCCTGTGGAAGTTGAAGAAATGAAAAAGCGGGATTTTCCATTTTACCATTAACGGAATTATGTGCCAACTGAATTCGGCACTCATAAACCATGGGCATGTGACAGGAGCGTTGCGGACAGGGCTCCTGAGTTAAAGACTCTGGATGTCGATCCCGATCATGAATCTGTCACCGCTGACGTCACAGGCGCTATATAATAACCATTCATTATTACGGACCTCAACTAATGAGCACATCCAGGTTGTCTATTAAAACAGGCTTTCCAAAAATCAGTACTTTTACAATACTTTTTCAGTACATTCCCAAAAAATTCACTACCTCATCAATAAGAGAAAAATTCAGTACTTTTTCGGTACCTCCAATGAACGAAATTCGAAAAATTGAACACATTTGACTTTCCCGCTTAAATTGCGGCAAAAATTAAAAAAAAATTTCGGACCTACTTCCGAAATTTGCGCACTTTTTTAGTACTTCCGCCTTTAAAAAATCAGTACTATTTCTGGACTTTCCGGACTTGTAGACACCCTGCACAACCCTTCTTTCCGACCTGTCTTTGGTCCCGTTTGGCAGAAATACGTCCAACTGTTTCTCCCATTGATTAAAAAATCGGGCACTGACCCGTAGACACAAAATGCTGCGGCCTGAGCGGAGCGTACTCAGGCTTAACCAGACCGGAGACGAGACTGAGATCAGCCTGCGAGCCCTTGACGGAGCCGGCGTCGAGGGGCTGGTGCGGCACAGCGTACTCGTTGACGAGCTTGCTCTTGGAGTAGGTCCGAGCCGGGCGCTGCGGGGTGGGCGCCGGGGCGGTGGCGTCCGTGTCGTAGCCGCTCCCGCTCCCCGGGCCCTCCTTCTCGACGACGCTGAAGCTGTGGTCGTGGTCCAGGTGGTTCGTGATCAGGGCGTAGTCCTGCTTGTCCGTGTACGAGGGTGGTTTCGGCGAGTCGTCCTCCAGGTCCGTTTGACCGTCCGGGCTCGTCGAGGTCGCCAGGTTGTTCAGGTGGATCGTCGTCGCGTTGTTCAGCGGCGATAGGTTGATCAGGAGATCCTGGCAACATTTAACATCAAAACATGAGATATAGTTCACTGAAAAAAAATCTCGGTGTATTTACTAAGAAAAGGGTAAAATTACCAAGAATTCAGGGTTCTATTTAGTTGGATAAACAAGAGAAAATGGGCGAAAGAAAAATCATTTCACTGACCATGCATTAGTAACTTTACCCATATTGTAAGAATAATAATAGGAGTAAAAAAAAGATTAAACAGAAAACAATTCCAGGAATAAAGTCTGAGTCGGTTTGAGAAAGGGAAGACAAATTTAAGGGATTGGGGAGTAGCAGAGGGGTAAAAAAGTTAGGCCCAGAAACTCAGGCCCAATCTCGGAATTCACAGTAAAGAGAAAAAAATAGCATTTGGCTTGTGCAAATGTTTATTAGCGAACTATCTTACCTTCATGTTGATATTAACTCCAAAAGGATTTTTCAAGATGGTGGTTGGCGAACCTTGAAGTTTGTGTCTTCTGCTGAGGACCAGGACAAAAACGAAGACTCCGACCAGTAGAAGGACAATCGCTGTCAAAACACCAATTACAGCTTCGACGGTCCCATCCCCTTCCTTTGAGGCAGTGACTGAAAATTGTAACATTAAAATTGATCAATAACCATAGGCGGTTCCAGACCTTCATGCTTGGGGGTACCCAGAGGTGGAAAATGTCGGAGACCGGCCCCAAAGGGGACGGTTGCTCAGGGGAGGCCTAAGTTTCGGCCCTCAAGTTTTATCCCTTTCCTACCCTCCTTTCTCTTTTTCTCTCCTTCCTTCCTACTTAAATACCTATAAATTCAACGTAGAAAATTTTTAGCAAAACAATCCATCAAAACTACAATCATGCCATAAAAAAACAGTAGAATCTTTGTAAAACACGACTATCAATATTAATTCTGTTTACAAAATTTTCAATTAATTGCTGGGTTTTTTTTCTCAGTGTGAGCGAGTACAGAATCTTTAAAATCAGTAATTTCACAGTTCTGATAACCGTACTTAATTTTTTCTTGGGGGTGCCCAGCACCCACTGGCACCCCCGTAGAACCGCCTATGTCAATAACTGTCATAGTCTCATGGAAACTGCAAATTATGGGAAATTTATAATAATTGTAAGTTTGCATTCCTCAAATACAAGTTGTCTTCTATCGGAGTAAGGTCAAAAGAAACATTGTAAAATACTGTTTACTAGCCAAAATGCCAGAAAAATATGGGCAAAAATGTGGAAGGTTTATGTTTAATGATACAACGATTACATATACTTGAATCGCTTACGTTGTTTATTTATAATCCTCCTATAAAAATTACCCATTTGCTATATACAATTCTAGCTGAAGCGCCCTTAAGCTATGCATTCATGACTCCAAAAATGTCAACGGAAATCGACAAGCCCAGCGTGCATGGAGGCTATTTCCATTTTAATCTTTCGTCAAATTCTTACGGCGCAATGATACAACTATTTGAACTCTCCGGAATGCGTGAGGTATCACTCCGCGATTGAAGGCGTTTTCAAAACAGCCAAGTTCTGATATCCGGATAATCGTTTTGCATAGTTCATTTTATATTTACGTACATCCTTACGATGGAAGAAACAACTTAATCGGCCCGAAAAACTGAAAAAAAAAAACAACTTAAATCGGGACTAAGGCCGCATATAATAAAAATAAAACATGAAATAAAATAAGATTTCAATCTTAATTTGAATTTTATTTTTTAAATTTATAAATTTGAATTTTTTTAAATACTTACTTGGTTCTAGAGAGTCCCACGGAGGATCAAGCATGTTCCCCGAGTTGATAAGAATTTCCTCCTCTCCAAGTTGCAGTAGAGACTCGCTGGTGGTATTTCCGGACAAGACCTCTGAAATTGACATGTGAAATTATTCACTCGATAAATCTTCGAAATAAACATTGTTTAGATCACAAAAATATATTTTCCATCAACACTGATCGTGAGAAAAAACAAATTGGTCACCGTAGCACGGTGTTCCGGCCGTATTTTACGGCTCATACAGCTGTGCTTGGCTTCTCGTAATTGAACTTTCAAACTGAATCAAACTGCAGAAAGAGTTTGGTTGCTTGAGTTCGGTTACCAGAGTCAAAACTGAAGTTATATGAACCTAAAATACGGCCAATGAGGGAAACCGTATCCGGCCGTACCGCTACATAGGATAAAGCTTTCTTTTTATGAAAGCTCTTTAAAAAAAATTTAGTCTTTAACCTCATGAATATAATGCAAACGACACTGTTCAAAAATTGAATATTATGTCGACTAATGATTTTTCTAGAAGAAATAGATGGAATCATCCAATTCTATGGGGGTTCATTTTGCTCCTTCCTTAAACGTAGGTGAATCCATTCATGAGAAACCATTAGTCCCCAGCTAGGGAATGAGATTTCTTACGGACTATCTTGAGACCCATTTAGAGAAAGTAGAAATTTTTCAGCACGGGGCTCTACAAATTGCTGTGGGAAATAACTGGGAAATTTTTAAACCCAGAATTTCAACATAACATCTTCTCAATCATTATTCCTAAAGGTATAGCACATTTCTTAGACGACTTTGATAAGCTCCTATAAATTGAATTCCACGTTCACAAGTCCGAGACTGGCCTAACTCACCTGACTCAAAATCCATTTCGCTGAGCATAATCCACTGATTGGCGAAGTGGAACTGAATCTTGATGAATCGGGCGATATGGTGATGTAAATGTATAGTGACATTCCTCGCATTTTCGAGGACTGTGTCTGGCATGTAGTTGTAGGTCACCGTTCGGCCTCCGTAATGTTGCCCGTCCATGCTGAATTGGATCCGAGCTTTCGAGAAGACCTGGCGAAAAGAATTGACAAGAATGCTCCGTGAATATATAATTTGAGGAATATTATAACGTTGATAGGACGAAACCAAAAAACGGCGGTAATAGTAGGCTAAAAACACACAAAGTTACGCAAAGGACGTTAATAGCAGCGAAAGCTTCACGACAGATAAAGTCACCATATGTGCCGCAACAGGGAACAATGTGCCTTAAGATGGAAGAAAATAACAGATTTTAAATAATTCATCAAATCATCCGTAGGAATTAATTTCAATAATTTTCGTTGCACGAATCGTGCTCCAGGTGAAATGTTGGTTACGAAACATGTATCAGAATGCTTAGATTCGTATACCTTGTCAAGTCGTCCTTTGCGTGAGGCGCCGTGGCATGCCGCTGTGCGCGGCGCAGCGGCGAGCAGTCAGCGCGGGATGGCGCCTACAAACCTAACGGGATACTTCAAGCATTGCGCAATGCGTGAAGTATCCCCGTTAGGTTTGTAGGCGCCAATACGCGTGCCGCTCCGCTCCGTGTTTGTTTCTTATATTTAAACTCGCGGATTCAGCGTTTTTTAACTTGTAGTCAATTATCAGATGATCATGTAGGTAGTAAAAATGATTATAGTGTATTAATTTTAAAAGATTAAAGATAATTTGTTAACCAGCTTGCAAATTAATGCCCATACTTTGAGGACTCTTTCCATGGAATAAATTTAATATCAGAAAGGTTGCAAGATTTTCGGTCCTATTTTTTGTCCATTAAATTTTTCGTCCAATGTATTTTGTCCACGGGTTTTCATCCTCAAAATCTCGTCCAAGTGAAATTCGTCCTGAACTTTATGATAGGAAATTTTGAAACATTGCGAACGAGATACCTGTCTCCATAGTAGTACCGTCAACATTTTCATCACGGAAAAAACGAGTTTAGGATGGGGCCCTAACTAGAGGTAGGGCAGTGAGAGGTAGCTCACGTCCCTACAGATTATAGGCACGAGACCTCCATGAGCTGGTTGCGAACGCTGCCACCGACTGGGTTTTGAGGTTTTAGTTACTGCGCATGCGCGCGCATGCGCAGGAGTAGCGAATACCGTCATTTCTCGCTGAACGCCAGTTGAGGACTGATGCCCGTATGATCAGGTGTCATTGATATGCCGAGAGGGGGAATTGCACTCAAGAGGCGTAAATTCGCTGCCTCATTCATCGAGGCCTCGTAGCCTGGTGGTACCGCGCTGGGCTATCATCTCTGCGATGCGGGTTCGAATCCATGCGAGGGCACGGATTTTTTACGCTTGGCGTCGATATGCAGGTAGGGCTGGACCCTACCTTCAGCTTGGGCCCGACCCTCCGAGGTTTAGGTGAAGCAATTTCACCTACCCCGGTTTGGGGCCGGGCCCTGCGCCGCAGTACCCGATCCTAAAACCGTTTTTTCCGTGATTTAAAGTCACGTGAGCTCCAAAATTTAACATGCCGAAATTCACTTAGAAGCGTATGCCTGGGCGTAGCTGAAAAATCAAATATCCCGCCATAGGGGAGAGGGTGGAAAAGGCAGCCGACCTCTAGCGGGAAAGACCTGAAACTCGAGTTCCGATGGTACCCGGTAAGGCGCGCCACCGGGACAGAGCACGGTGAGAGTTGCTGGGAAAGCTAATGGGCAATGGGCGGACGTTTCATAATGAGGGTTAGTGTATGAAACAGTCAACACTCGTGATGCTTGAGTACGAAGTGCGTGAAATGTGAAATAGAGACTCCTCTGAGAGCGCTTTCCTCTTGCGAGACATTGTCTCGTTCGGAGCGCGAACCTCGTCCTTACTCCTAGTTGTCATGTTTCGAGCTGAATTTCAGGCTTTTTTTGTGATCACTTTTCACACTCGCTCTTACTTCGGACTAAAACTATGAAATGAGGGAGCAATTTCCGTACAAGTCACGTAATTAAAATGTTGAATGTCGCATGTTAATTGTTTTAATATGATATTAATGTATACATTGTATGTATACAATGTATAATCCCATCCATACGATGGCAAATGTTTCCGCCTAGCACTACGCCACTGACTGGACTAAAAGTTTTTAGTAATGTGTGCTCGAACCGACTTGGAATTTTATGTTTTAAACATGCTACTATACGCACTCCCCGATGGACTTTTATGCCTACACGATAAGTTGAAGGCGAACTAGCATTTAAAGTGTCTGTACATTCCTACACTGTTAAGTGGGCGGCGTATTATTGGTAATGATACACATTACACAACAATTTAAAACCTCCAACAAATTAAAAGCTCACGTTTCTTACGTGCAACTATACATACTCCCTTGTGCGCATTTTGCCTATTCGAAAAGTTGAAGGCGAACTTGCATCTGAAATTGTTTTCGCACACTGCAAAGCTACTTACTGGACAGTGTAGTAGCGACAGTTTCCGTCCAAATTTTTTGTCTTACGCTCTGAAAATACAACTTAGACATACTGGACGTACTTTCTAGTGCGCATTTTTGCCTACTCAAAAACTTGCGGACAAAAGTACGACGAATTTTCTTCCACCGACTGGATAGCGAATTTTTAGTAATGAATGCTTGAGCAAATTGAAATCTTAACGTTCTTGACAAACACAAATAACAATTCGTACTCCTAGGTGTGTAGTTTTGCCTACACAAAATGTTTAAGGCAAAGTGCGACTAAAATTTGTTTCTACTGCTTGAATTAAATATTTATAGTAATGAATTTTCGAGCAAATTGAGATCTCCTATTCTTGACATGTGACCATGCTTTCTCTCCAGGGCTCATTTTTCATCACACGAAAAATTGAAAGCAAACTGACGACTTAATTTTTTCCGTCACATACCGACCCGAAAAGAGACTGTAGAGGAAATTATAATAATAAAAACAACTCCTTTTAAACTGAACAAAACAAAACATAACATTTCCCAGGGTTGTTTACGGAAGCTTGCACTGAAAAAAAAGTGAAGGACCATAGAGACATACCGTCCATTCCGGGCTCAGAGGCCGAAAGTTCCTGGCGCTGGCACCGCGGCTTCCATTGCTCTGGGTTCTACGCCCGGAGCTTTCGGTCTCTGAGCCTGGAACACCGACGCTGCACGGAGAGAAAACTTCGTGCATGGGACCCAAAGTATAGGTCATATGGATCTCTGAAGTTTTCGGATTGGGCATCTGAACACTTAAGGTCTAGCTGCCGAAGTTCAGATCTGACATCTGAAACTTCAGTTCTTAGGATGTGAAAACCGAAGTACTTCAGATGTGAGAACCGAAGTTTTTCAGATGTGAAAATCGAAGTACTTCTGATGTAAGAACTGAAGTTTCAGATGTGAGATCCGAACCTCGACAGCTAGACCTTAAGTGTACAGATGTTCAATCTGAAAACTTCAGAGATCCATATGACCTAAACTTCGGGTCTCACGCACGAGTTTTTTTCTCCGTGTGTGTCTATATAGCCCGTGAGTACGGCTTCCACGGCCGGAGTTTTTTTTTTTTTGTTTCAGCGTGGCGCTTGATCACTTCTGAGAATGCCTCACAAGTCTGTGACGTTCAACAATCAAGATACGATTCTGAGAAGGCGTGATTATCCGATTCTGCCGAAGCAAGAAAGCCTCAAAGCCTCCTCTCGAGAGTATGCGCGGAGCGCGAGCACATCCTAGAGCACCCCCGTGTCATTAACGACTGGAAATGCAGCCGGAGAAATTAATTACAGGATCCTCGAGCCGATGTAACAGAAAGGGGTCGTCGGAGATACGCGCTCCGGGGATGAGGACGAGAGGCAGGGCGCCCGGCTCGGTGGCAACAGGGTCGAAATTACCGTGTTCTACCGTCGATTGCGCTTACAGTGCTTAATTAACCATTCAAATTGGCCGCAGTGCTGCCCATCTTGAGCACTCCTGATTTCCCCCGATTTGAGGCGAATAGTGACAGGCAGACGTGCTCCATTCACCGCATTCTCGATGCCAAGTTGATGGTGCTTAGCTCCATACTTACAGGTAATGCATCCAGCTTGGCCACTTTGGCAGGATTTTGGGGGTGAAAGTGGTTGCACAACTTTTGTAGGAGGATTAAAATTCGGAACTGGAGAGCTCATTGATATATTTATTTGTGACCATCCTCGGAAAAAGGATCTACACAGGGTTCCCACAGTCAGGGAGAATCGGGAAAACCGGGCAATGTCAGGGAATTTTAAAAAGTTAGGGAAAACCTGGAAATATCAGGGAAAATGACGAGAATGTCAGGAAAAATTCGATCACTTTACAAAGTGCGAAGTTAAGCATTCTAATAAATGTTTCTTTTACGAAATTTCACGTAAAACACGATTCACGCAACGTTTACTGGAACATACTCCTAACAAAGATACTTAGTGTTTCTTGACGCGTGAATTCAAACCTCCCGATCATGAAAACGCAATGGTCTGCGTGAGCCAAATCGCGCAATTAGACGTTGCCGCAAAAGTCTCCACGGAATGAAAAGATGGAAACCTCAATTTCAATGCTTCAGCTTAACTGTTGCACGTTTTTAACACTTTGAACGGCACAAGGTGGAAAAGGAACATTTTTCGATTAAAAAACCTGCCACTATTGCACTGGTGCGCGATTTACCTAACTCACGTACAGTATTGTGTTTCTTGTGACCGGACGATTTAAATTTCCCGCAACCAGTGTAAAATAAAAACGGTATTATCTTGGTTAGAATTTGATTTCAGCTATTTTCGATGCGAGAATTTTGTTTTACGTAAAATTCCGGTTGAGAAATATGTATCAGAATGCTTAAATTCTACCTTGAATAGTGGTCTATTGCCAGCTGTTAGTGCTACCCTTCCACTTACAGCTGCAATATACCGGCTCGGACTTTTCTGGCTTGAGTGAAATTCTTTTGACAATTATTGGAACATACGTTGGAATCGACGAGCGTCGACGGTCGAGCGCGTTCATCGGGACGCAAGCGGAAGCGGAGACAGTGACGAGCATTCGCCGCGAGCGAAAATAAACGTGCCACTATTTCAAATATCATGTTCTCGGCTCACGCCCTCTCTGTCAACAAACACCCTTGTCGTCAAGTTATGACCTACCTCAGCGTCTTCCGTTCCTCCCCCTCCTTACTTCCCTATCAAAGCGCATACTTCAATTTTAGACACTCTACCCTTGATTTTCCACGTGGGAACCACTTGACGAGCCCCTTTGTCCGATTAAAACAGAGACAGTTCTTTTTTGAGACCCCCGCACCAACGATCTAAGCATGTAATCGGGGGAGGCAAACCTTAAGTTCGAAGGTCAATGCTAATTTTCTCCTAATGAAGATTGATGAGCAACTAGTTGAGCATAAACTTGCCAAATGCTGACTGATGAGTGTCGAGGTGAGTACTTTAATGGGCGAGGTTTTGCAATAAGGATTCACTATCTCTGGCTTTTCCATAATAGCGCATTTCTGTATAGGGAAACCAATATCATTTATGTTGTTTCTAAAATTAGTCAGAAAATTAAAGTGATTCCTTTCTGCAAAATGTGGTCCAATTACTAAACCACATGCTCAACTCTTGGGTCATTAATCATCATTGGGAGAATCTGCGCGTTCATTTCCGAAAAAAAGTTGCTCTTGTACCATAGAAAACATAGGAGTGCAAAGTCTCAAAAATATATTGTCTCCATTGAATGAAAAAAGTGACTTTTTGTTGGAGATAGACAAGTGATCAATACATGACGCGATGGTAAATCAATTATGAAAGTTGTTATCAGGGAAAAATCAAGAAACGATACTTATTAGAATTTTTAATGATCTGTTTTTATTCTGCACTGGGGATCCTGTAAGAATGTGTAAGGGTCATTAGTTTTTCTCCAAAACACTAAAAAGCAGCCGTTGTTCTGTCTCCACTGACGGAGATTTTGAAACCTTTAAATCAAGATACAACTGCGACTTTCGAGATCGATTTGTTCTTCACGGATCATGTAGTCACCATTTAAGCACGGATAGTTAAAAGTTTTCAAAAAAAAATTGAGGCGAAAGCTCTTTGTTTAACCGTATTTATTAATGGGAAAAATTAAATCCAAAGAGAGGAAGTTTTGGACGAGCTTTTAAAAGTGCAAAAACATCATGAAATCGTTGCTCATTCTTTTTCAGGAACAAAGAGAAAAGAGGAAGGAAAACAATCTATGGCGACGTTTTCTAAATCTTCTCTATGATTAATTTCTCTAAAAACACTAAAATGAGAGCATCCAACGTTCATTTGCCACTTGTTAGTGATCAAACTGGATGATAGGTCAAGAACAAAAATAGAAAGAGAAAAACGTAAAATTCAAGAAGATTACCATTTTCCTTAAAAAAAAAAGGAAAAAAGATGACGCCAAGTGGGAACAATTGGCGGGAAAACTAGCTTGAAATGACAAAAAACTCCCCCAAAGGGACCCACAGGCCGTATTCCAGCCATTTGCTAGTTTCCTGAGCCTGATTCTCTTCACAGCTTTCAAAACCCAGATTGTGTTCTACTTCCTTGGGCAGTTTCTAATGCGGTGAGTGGAAGAGGATTATTCCACCCAATTGTCAGATCTACTTTTGCTCATACATCGACAATTTTAAGAAAATGGGTGCGCGTGTCAAGTGTAACTCGTTATGCGGCAATAATTTCACAACTGCAACAACATAGGGAAAAATCATACACAAGGCTAATTTTCACGATCGAGTATGATAAAAAATAGCAACCAAGGTAAACCGCAAGACGAAATGCCTTTCGATGGAAGATATTGAAATTTTGATTCATCTTACTGGCAGTTCACCGTATCATATACTCTCAATTTTTACAAGGACATCTCCGGGTGAAATCAACTTTGAATTTTAGCGATCATTGATCAAAAAGCAACGAACCACATTTATTTGCATTTGACTTATACCAATTCTTTCATTGCAAAGTTGATCTGGGGCGAAATCCATCCAAAACGCATATGATGTTCGATAACCCGTTGGTTTCACCCGTGGGTAATTTCAGAAGGACCTTCAAGTCAGATTTACGATGCAATCCTTGGCGGGTGGTTAGCGGGTCCATGAAAGAAAATCATACAGACAATCTCAATTATTAGCATTGACATCGTATGACCATGATATTTAAAAAAACCCTTTTTTTTTAAAAAAAAAAGAATAAAAAAGAGCATAGTTTCTTCAAATGAAGAAAATTGAATTCAGCTCATTGTAAAGGTTTTTTTTCATTTTTTTATAGCTTTGGTATTTTACTTCTTTCTGTTTTGATCTACGCACTGAAAACTTTTGTGCGATTACCCTTTTAAGATCAAGTATGCGCTTAAAGTCAACTAAAATGTCGCCCTACATCGTCATTCCATTTGGTTTTTCGGCCCGATCTGACAACAATACCTTCAATTGACGCGGACGCCGCAATTTGGGGCTCTCAATTCTCCACTCGGACGCAAATGTCTCCCTCTTCTCACCCTACCCAATTCCCAGATGCCGCGAGCCCCTCGAGTATTCTTTCCGAGAGAGAAAATTTAAAATTTTGCCGAGAAAACGTCAGTTGTAAGAGAGATTCAAAACTCTATTTTCTGGTAGCCAGCGGCGAGTGCAACTTCAATGAATTCTAACGTGCATCAGCTGCGGTTGGATTGGTGTTAGTGAAACCTCCTCGCCTTGCATTCCTCTCTCCGTCCCTCCCGGGAAAAAAAGTTGAAGTCTCAGATTTTGAGCATGAGAATTTGAGGCTGAGCGGATATATCCTACTATTCCATTAAGAAAACTCGATACAGGCAATCAGAAAAACCCCATATTGTTTTTAAACCAGTTAAAAACAAGTAACATGAATTCTCAATAAAAACATCTTCATCCTTTTTCTTATACGATTGACGTTAAATATTCGAACCATTTTTTTAAAAAACGGTCTAAAAATTCATATATTTTATTCCCGTAGTGTCAATTTTGCATTTATACTCGTCTCGTGCTTTTCCTCTGTCTTAAAACTCGAGGGAAGTAGATAGTTTTGATGAAACTGTGTCGAAAGAGATGCAACAAGTTTCTACTTGTAAATTTTATGTAAAATGTCTTCATGTTCCGTGTGATGAAGCTCAATATAACTTTATTTGGACCCTCTTTTTAAACTCAAGAAGTTTGAAAGGAAATAAATTTAATGCTGACAACTCAATGCATGATTCGATGACGAGTTTTTAATTTTTGCTTCGGAGACTCGTAAGTCGTAACTAACTACACTCGTAAAATGACTCCACAAACGCCTCAAAAACAGACTCTGCAATGAAAGTGCCGCTAAAGAAAGTTTAAAAGTCCACTCGTGAAATTAACAACCGCCTTTGAACTGGCGAGAAAGTCGACGAATCAGAGTGCTTATTGGCTTACAGCAAAGGACGTGACAAGTCTAATCACCACGTAACTTGCTTCCCAGATATGACGTTGGAAATCGTCTCATCATCAATTTTTTCACCGCTATGGGACTTACTAAGCTGCGCGACTGGAAAAACCTCAAATCAGGGCAGAATTTTCATTGAATATACGTTGTTTTGTGCGAGTACGGGGAGGGAGCTAATAAAAAGGCGGAATTGCAACCAGGTTCGTAAGTTCCGGCGGATAGACACCCGTAAAACCACTTAACCTACATCTCGCTTCAATTTCAGCCCGTAATTTATTTCCGCGAATCGCCGTTCGGAGAAAGCAGTCGAATTAGTTTAATAACACTAAGTACACGATGCGGATTTCCATTTACGTCCAAATCGCTTTAAAGATGAAATTGCGGGCAAACTTAAAATTAACGCCATCCTCGGCTGAATTTACCTCTTTCGATTACTTCGCTCTCTCGATGCGGCTATTTATACGCGCTAGCATCTTCAATAAAGCAATTTATCGCGACGATTCCGCGTTTAATTTATGTTTTTAACTCGATAAGTTTCGAGTTTCCCAGTGCGAAAACGTGCTCTTGAATCACAAAGTCTGTAAGTATTTTCAAGGCAAGCAAAAATAGTTCAGTTTATTTTTCGCGTTCTCTATTTTTTTATAAGGGCGCAGTCGCCTGTTGACAGCACATTAGGAGAAGGGAACTTAAACTGCGTTGAATTACGTTCTGAGAGAGATAAAAATAACTATCCAGATCTATGTAACGCTTCTGATTCAAAATATATCCTGGTTGGTATGCTTTTCTTCACTAGAAAAAAAACCACATTGGATCTAGAGTCCAGACTTTTAAAAATATCGACAAGAAAAAGTACTCTTGATCCAATCAGAATCTAGCTTAAATCAAGAATCAAGCCTCTTCATTTAAGCGGATTTCGTTTTGATTGAAGCAAAAATCCGATTGAATCAAGAGTATTTTTTCTTGTCAATGTTTTCAAGAGTCTGGACTCTAGATCCAATGTGCTTTTTTCCAGTGTTTTTATGTAAGAAAAATAGGATGAAAATTCCGGGTACATTGAGAAATATTTCGCTCTTTTCTTTTGAATACATGCATGTGAAAAAACAGAGACTTAGCTAGACATTTTTTTGAAAGGAATGGTTAACGATCTAAAATCTTTCATTAGTGGAAAAATTTCCAACATTTATCAACTTCAGTCGAGCAAAAAGTAACGATCGTAGTAAATTATCTTCCAGGGACAAAAAATGTGGGTCTCGTGGTCGTCGCCTGCACTTTTGTCTACCTAAATGTATAACGTTGGAAACTTGATCGGGATAATTCTCATACTATCATTTAGCATTTATTCATTTGCTCCTCACTTACAATCCTGTACATCATTGAGACTCGAATAAGGGCGGGAAAGCGTTCGCGTGCTCACCGGCGATCGGCGACTCGAAAGCGATCAAAGCCGAAAGCGAGTGGAATACAGATTCCCCTCATTAAATATTTCGCGAACTCGGTTTGTATTTATTCCGAGTGGAGCAGGTAAATTCGGCAATTTAGATACGAGGAAATAAAATATTCACGCGGGTCGGGAAGAGGGAAAAGGGAGAGGGATGCTTACCTGAACACCTTTGCTGAATAAATTATTCGTGAAGAAGTGGACGACGCTGAAATTACGGACCCGCTCGAACTCCACCACCATCTCGAAGCTATTTTTCGGGAAAGAATCCTTGCGCCAGCCTACCCAACCGCTTCCTGAAACATCCGCAGGGGGAAACGTTAGAGAGAAAACGAGATTTGTGTTTTGGTGTGTAAAGCTCCCTTTATAGGGGAAAAGCGGTCATCTGTGTATCGCTTTTTGATTGGTTACGCTGATCAAACCTACACCAAAGAAAGAGTGAAGTTGATTTAACATTCAGGATGTGAAAAAAGTGGGCGAGAATTTATAAAATGCTAAAATACCCACCACAGCAGTTACTTTTAAATTTTGGCATTGCTAAAGTAACTGCTGTAGTGGTGATTCAGCATTTTATAAGTTCTCGCATGCTTTTTTCACATCCAGAATGTTGAATCAACTTCTTTTTTTCGGAGTGCATCGAGCCAATACGGTTGTACATAAACAAACAAGATCGCAACGTCACTAAACCATGAAGTTGACTTCCGAAATCATTCAATGGGATAGAAACGCAGGCAACTTAACAAAACCATCGGATTGACTTACAAAATAATTCAATGCAACTGAAGCATATCGATGGTGAAACTACCATGCATGTCTCTCGGTTGGAGACGCTGTAGACTAAAAAAGCGCTTCCCGTGTCTTGCTTTATATTTTAAATGGAAAACGACTCAACGTCGATTATTCTTGACAAATTCCGTGAGTTTTTCTCTAACGAGATTCGACAAAAAGCCTTTTAGCCTCAGTTTGAGGAACTGCCTAACGGAGGAGTTCTCAGGATTTTTCCATACTTGGCCCCGTCCCTCGACTTTTCCTGGAAACTTCAATCCCAACTGAAGAAACTTCGTCAAACTTCAAATTCCCACCGACCAAAAGGGGTTTGACACAACGCTTTTATCAAACTTTGGTTTGAGTGACACTGCGGGGTTTCACCGTAACATAGCCACTGAATCCGTCTGTTCGCTTTACAAATTTCCAGACGTCTCGTTTTTAACGTCAAGCCCGCGTCGTATGCGAGCGTCCCGACGTCCCGTGACGTCGGAGCAACGTGGCAAAAGCATGGAGCTAACAAGGCGTCACGTAGTGCGGCGAACAAGCAGCGCAAATGGAGCGGCGGACAATTTAGGGCCGGAGCGTGGCATTAGCCGTGGCCTAGGGTGTCAGAGGGGCGGGGTGGGGAGGTGGAGGGAGGGGGCAAAGGCAGGGCGAATTATTGCGTCTCACGGCGGATTGAGGAGATCGGAATTATCGGCCGACGCGCCGCGACGCCCCGGCCCCTGAGAGCGTCGATTCTGCACCCGCAACGATTTCGCAAGGCTGGGCAGGAACCGCGTATCTTAAAGCAGTTTGAATAGAGATTATATGCTGTTTTTTATGAGCGAGACTCTGTATGCGCTACGTTGGTTTTAAAATCGCGTATCTACATACAGTTCTTCATCGGAGATAGATCGTTTTCGATACATCAAATAGGTGAGATTGTATCGATATCGATTGGTTCAACATGTAAACATAGCCTCAAAAGTCAATCGAGTAATCTGAGGAAACGGGGTTTTTCTGATAGATTTATAATTCCAAGTTTTTTAACAGTCGCTAATGTAGACCTCTCTGAGCCAAGTAACTTTAAACGCTTTTTCCAATTTTTTTTTTTTCACCATTCTGAACGCATTTCTGAAATGTAGTTCTGAGCACATGCTATTTTGAGATCCCAAAAGCATACCCAGAAATGAACTGAACTCAACGACATCGAGCGAATGCTAAAAGTCATCCACTATCGATCAAACTCCACAGACTCTTTGGTCTTTCGAGGGAAAAACTTCTCTGCGTCGAGTGAAGAAGTCACAGGGGAAGTTGCATAAAACGTGCAATAACTCTTGGCCAGAGGAAATAAATTGAGACGATCGAGAAAACTTCTCTAATGCTTTCCACGTGAGTGTACCTAATATGTTTTGCAAACACTGCAGGACTCGCTGCGAAAAGTTTTGCCGGCAGTTCAAGTCTATTACTTGGAAAGAACAGCAGTTTTCTAGCATGTATACTTCGGGAAAAGAGGTTCAACGGAAAGCAGCTACATGCTGGGCTTCATGGAAAACAAAACTGTTTTCGTCCCAGCATTTAATTTTTCTTAGGTCGAGTGTAACTGTAGACGTTCCTAGTTATATTAGTAGTATTTATCATCATTGCTTTCTTCGAACTAGGAACCGGAGATAATTTCTGGGAAAAAACCGCCAGAATCATTACCAGTATACACGAAACGCGGACGGAGTATTCTCCTGATGAACTGTCAATACGCGGAAAAAGAACCAATTATATTGTCTTAAAACTATTTTTCTAGTTACCAAAGCAAATTACTCTTCTTTCCCCGCTCCTTCAATAGTGACATTTTATGGAGCTAAAAAGTATTTTTCACGAGAATTTGCAATTAAAAGTTTTATTTATTGCGCTGAAAAGGTTCAGTGAAAATAGAGACTGAATGCATGAAAGCATTAGTCTTTTTTACGGCGCTCTTGGGCCCTTGGCGACACCTAACCCTGAAATTTATTAGGATAGAGATTTTCCGGAAACTGGCTTCTCAATAAAGACTAAATGCTCAGAAAAGCATATGATGAGATAATGACCGGGTTCAGTCATAAAGGTAAGTTGAATTTATCATGCGATCAAGTCATTCGTATGATTTTTAAAGCTTGATTAAATTGATCAGGTCCGACTCAAAGCCTAAATTTTAAAGTAATACATCCCTGTGACCTTTATAAGACCGACGTGAATAAGCCACTGTAAGATTTACTCACACATTAAGTTCCGAAAAGAAAGAATTTGGACTGCATCGGTGCATTTCAAAAAGCTAACCAGAGAGTGAATAATATAATATAATAATACGATGGGGTCAGAAATTCGCGGAAAAACGCTTATTATTATCATTCATGAACGGTACATAATTTAGTTTCTCCTTTAAAAATGAGAGCAAAAATCAAACTGAAACTTCAAAAAAGGCGCACATTGTGATGATATAGAATTAATTTTTGATGATAGATAAAATAAAATAAATTTAAACTATCTGATTTTTGGCATGGCGACAGGAAGGAGCCTTAGAAGAAAAAGGATTCGCAAGGACTGAGCATGTAATCTGGAGCAAAGCAATTTTATGCTGTTTTTTGCCCTCACATGCAGCGAGCAAACATCTTAAAAGCTGTAAGGAACCGCGGAGGGGGAGGGGAGGGTTTTTTCCGAGTGGCTGAGTAAATGAAACTGGTAAAAATTGGGGGCGACCTCAACTACTCGGAGAGCTGGAGGAGCTCTTTAACGGACAAAGAGGTGGGGTTAAATTAAGTTCAGTGAGATTAATAGTGTCTGTTTCTGACAACACCTAGGGTTTTTTCCTCCGGTCAGACGAGTATTAGATGAAATGGACCGAAACAATGTAGTGCTCGCGAAAGAAATTGTCAACGAAATAAACGAGTGATACCAGTCCACCTCCTCGGAGGAACAGGCCGTTTTTATACCGAACGCAATTTAAGTGAGCACGCACCATAAAATCGGGTTAGTGCTGTCGAGTTATTTCGGGGTTACATGGTGAGAGACGCTCTGCTAGGTGCGGTAGTAGTTGAGTTTTATGATTTATGATGGCGTTCAGGAGAATGATTTGATGTTGTTATTAGATGCAACAGTGCTTATTGTACGTCCGCAACCGAGCTGTCTCAATATCCGGGATGGATTGGCGAAAAACCTAAGAAGTGAAAGGAAAAAGAAAGAAGACAACTGGACCCTAGCTTGGGGAGATTAATTTTGCATCGTTTGGTACAAAAATCTTGAGACTACTATTTTAATACTATTTAAAATAATATTTTACCCTAGGAGATCAATTCGAAATTAAACTACAGTAAATTGTGAATTTTAGAAAAATACAGTTACAATTTGCCGGCGCTGTTGCTAAACTTAGAAAAGATTCACATCCAAAACTGATAATACTATTTCTTAGAAAACAAATTGTGGCTAAAAATTTTGACCTAATGTTTTTGAAAGAATCTAAAAGCCCTTAAAAAAAAAAAANAAAAAAAAAAAAAAAAAAAAAAAAAAAAAAAAAAAAAAAAAAAAAAAAAAAAAAAAACTGATGATCGATATTTCTCACCCCTGTCTGATTTTTTCGATAGACCAAAACATTTGACCTTCCTCTAAGGGCCAATTTTATCGGAGGCTATGAGTGACACTCTTTTGTTCGAACTGCAGATGCTTCTTTACTTGTTTGGGCGTATCTGACCGTGCCTACCTCGTCCATTAAAGGCGAACCAACATGTTTTCTATAATTTTTGGCCTCGCTCTATCAAGCACGGGAACATGGAAATTAATACCTTGGAGACATTTTAGACTCACCCCGACCGTATCCGATGTCCAATTTGAAGTTGTCGCCGCCGAAGATGCCGTCGGCGAGCCGACCCATGCCCCCCGACAGCGTCGTCTCGTTCACCTCGCCGTCGTACGTCGAGTCGCTCAGGTCCTGACCCGTGTCCCAACTCGGCTCCCGAGGGATCTGGTAGCTGACCATCCCATCTGCAACAGATTTAAAGAAAAGAAATGAGTCAAATGATGCTTGATTAAATAGGCCTGTTGAAAAAATTTGCTAGAGCAAAAATAAGAGTTTTTTTCTATCAGTAGATATCTCAAAAAGCATGATGAGAGCATTAGCAAAGTTTAAAATGCACTCCTAGCTTCACGATCTGCGCAAGAAATTTGCGTTTTTTTGAGCTTTCTGCTTCAAAAACGATACATTTCGTTAGAAGTGTCGTTCTATCCAACCCCTGTGCACAATATTCAACATGGCCGACGCCAATCTGCAAAAACACAACGAGGGAGCCGATACGCCAAAGCCGCTTCACTACAGGCTTTATCATTTTCATGCTAATCATGTATAAAAATACGCAAAAAGAGAGAAGAAAATTACTTGGGTTTATGTAATGTTTTATCATTTGAAATGACAAAAATTCCAACAACTATTACAAAAACTTCAAAATCATAAGTTGAAAATCGCTGACGCCACAAGTTTGAATAATCATATCAAACGCAGTGTGGCCGGCGCGGCGCGGGGCTGGCACGCACGGCCCGAAACGCATTGTAGCGCCTTACAAGACCGCAGGATACTCCATGCATTGCGCGTACAGCACGGTGCGAGCCGCGCATAGTTCAACGCCTTACAAGTCTGCAGGATTCTTCATGCATTACGCGTACAGCACGGTGCGAGCCGCGTATAGTTCAGTGCCTTACAAGTCAGCAGGATACTTCATGCATTGCACGTATACCACGGTGTGCGCTCAAGTCGGTGAAAAGTCGTACTTTATCGGTGTCGAACATATTTCGGTGTTTACAATTTAAGAACAGTGCACACCGCGAGCTTGCAATCCTAGGATCAAAGAATTGTAGAGATTTTGCAATGCTTTATGTTTTCGGTGAAAATATAATTTTCCCCGGCCGCTTCGAAGAGCCAATTTCGCTTTCACTGAAAAAAATAATCGGTGGGATTTACCAGAGTTTGGGTGTTATTTACCATACTGTCTACTTGATTTTTTACACAGTGAAGCTGCAGCATAGTTACCAATATACCGGTATGGTAAATAACACGATACGGCTGACACTATGCGACACAGTGCCAGTGTGGCGTTCCCGACTGACTAGTATGGTAATTTCAAGCATCCAGATGCTGCGACAAACCTTGTAGATTCTAAAATCCACTCATCTTATATTATTAAATGCTTTTGATGAAAGTCGTGGATATTTTACTTACATCTTACTTTTAGAAATTCCGTTACATACACAATCAATGGCAGTTAAAGACAGTTTCAACGAGAAATAGCAGATAATTGCTTCACTGATTTCAAGTAAATGATACCAAAACCATACTTGTTATTCGCGTTAAGGTATCATTTACAGACTAAATCAGATCCACGGAAAATTTAATTGCATAAAATAAATAGATAGTTCAAAATATACCCACAAAAAGACACTACATGAAAATCCAATCCCACGGTTCACGGTGGGGCAGAAGCTGCCAAATTTTGCTTAAAGTTACAGTTAAACATCAATCCCACGCACATTTGTCTCTTCATCTGAGTATGTTGAGCTTCGAAAATTTTAACAAGAATATAGATATACCTACGAACGAAGTATTCAAAAATCACTTCTAGTCGATTATTTTCAAATTACTTCCGCACTTTTATGTTTTCGAAATGACTTTACACAGAACCGATATTCACTGGATTGCAGAACAACTTTGCGAAGGTTTTCAAATTTTCAGGATTCCTTCACTTTGCAAGCCAGATTCATTGTAGCAACTCCTAACCTCCAGAAATTGGTCGATACGAATAACGAAAAAATCTCAGAAAATGTATGTGGCAGATCAATATAGATAGATTCGAAGAGAAGACGGTAGCTTTAGGGACAATTCGAACACAAATTTGGGCAAATTACGCGTGGATTCACATGGATTAATATGGATCAATAAAACACAGCCACGGACTCCGACCCTCAACGTGATAAATTTATAACTGACAAACAGACAAACGAAAAATGGCGGACCACAGACCGCAGCGCAGTCAAGCGGGAGCTCTCACCACGCTGACTATACCAGTATGGTAAATTTAACCTACCAACACCATGACCAGTCGCATACAGATGCCTACAGATATCAAACGCAAGTGTTACCATGTTATTCCATACTTTTAACTCATCGTATGGTAAAAAATACCCAGCTGATGGTGAGAAATACCTAAACGATGGACAGACACACCTAACTGATATTTACAATCCGGGTATGGTAATTTTTATATCGAGTATGATTCTCACTTTCATCTAGATGCTTAAATCGACCATTATTTGGCTTTTTATCACCATATTTTTTTTTACTATACCATTATGGTCAATCCCACTTCCACTTTTTTTTCAGTGTTTGATCTTAATTGCAGGGATTCAGAAATTCGGACGATGTTTCATTTTTTTTTTTTCTTTTTTTGATGAATTATGAAAAAAAAAGAAATTAAAAATGTGATTTCCATAGATTGAAAGGAAGACGCGAATTTTTTAAGTTTATTCGTCAATATTCATCACCAAGACGCTAGTTATTACAGCTGCCATCACGAAATTTCACGGTCCGATAGCTCCGCGTGAGGTCTCACGATGGAAAAGTGACAAAGTCGAGAAACAGTCTCTTAGGTTGCTGTTGTTGTGGGGTGGAGGAAGTTTACGGACAACTCTTAGAACAAAGCAAAACGCCGCTTGACTTAAATTAACATAGAGCTGGACCGAACCGACTATCAACTGCACTTTGCTCAACTTGGAATGCTCGGCTTAGCTCCACCATTCAAGACAAATGTTTGTCCCTCTCTCTCCTCCCTCTATCCGAGGTGTGCGCCGGGGTTGCCAGGATAGAAAGGTTATCGACTGCAATTTTGTTATTATTTGGGTTTTGAATGGGCAATACGAATTAAAAGAAGGGTTTAATGATAATAGTCTTACATTACATAGCTTTAACATTATAACATGTTTTTTGGGTATTGGATTGTCTGGCCACATGGATGGGAGATCTAGTAGGTAGTGCCCACGGGGAAAAACGATTAGGGTACTGGACTGACTGATTGAATTAACTAATTTACTCCTCGGGAATCTAGTATTTGCTACTAAATTCCGCATGTATCGCTGGACAGTCTAGTGAAATTTCTGACTCGGTCTGGACAGCTCGACGGCCAGTATCGTTCTTTCGGCGCGAGGTGGATTCTGAATATAACTTACTCAGATATAACTACCTAAAAATCGCATGTTCCGGAGCTGAAAATACGCATGTACTATGCAATTTTAAAAATCTCTAATAACGTTTTACTTTTTAAAATGAAACTGCCAAATATATTTTCTTGCAATTTCCTGAGGACCTAATTGAGAGAAAGAAAAAATAAATCACAGAACGTCTCAGAAAGACCACTCTACTCGCCACCACTGAGTTTTCTTTCAATTAACTAAACATGGGGGGAATTACGCAATTTAAAGCTTAGATACGCATTTTTCGACTTTGTCCATCGATGTGCGCCGCAATAACTCCGTAGGGCATTCCATTGTCATATGAGCCCTAAAAGGCACGGTACTAAAAGGCACCAGGGCTCATTTGGACGTATTTATATCAAATGAACGAGCCCTGGGACCCATAAGAATATGTGCTTATCAGGGCTCACGTCATAATGCATATAATTCCGATTGATAGAATTACGTCCATTTCAAGATGGTTTTCCGGCCAAGCAGTGTAGTGACAATACGCTTAGACCCACCTTCTCCCGAGATCCGGAATCCCACGCCACACAGTGGGTCGAGTCAATGAGCGAGGTCGGATAAAATTTGGAAACTTCACAAGTTTATAACTCCGTCCACACAAAACTTTGAGGTTTTAAAAATGGTTCGCCTTTGGTTTCCTCGTGCAATTTCCTGCTAGAAGCACTCCGTAACATATCAAATGTGACGAAATAAACGTCAAAATTTCCAGTGTTAGTCAAAAGTTTAATATCTGACCTTCCTGATTGACTTGATCCACTGTGTGCCACGGAGAGACACGTAATCAAGGGATGACCCTTAACCTCCAAAATTTGACAACAATTCCGTTGGCAAACGCGGGTGAACTTCTCGAAGTCCTAGCCAGTCCGTGACGCCGGTTCCTGTTCCAGGGGTGTTCTCACCTTAAATTTCGGGTGCTGCGACGCTAAGACTTCCCGGCCCCGAGGCGCATTTGCCTCTGTTTATCTCCGATTCGCGATCCTCCCCCGACGCGAAGCTACGCACCGCGTGGCCCGGGGATGTTTGCACTCTTGTAACTTCGATAACTCCACCTTGAACTCTGTCTGGGAGTTGCAGGTCGGCTCTGGTCTCTGTGTAACTTATTCTGCGTTCTTGATCACGTCATGGGAGCAGATGCGTTTGTATAAAATTCTTAACTTACGGTAGGTAAATCAGACTGATTTAGTGGCTACGTTATTCGATATAATATCAAACCCTTGGTTCAAATGTAAACAACCCCATCACCTTGTTTCTGATTTGCTCCCTTAGCGCCACGGTGGTAAAATGCGTCCAAGTGTTTCTTAGAATCGTGTTTAATGAGTCTTTAATCAATGTATGACCGGCCAATGAATAAATTTTAATGAATTAACGCAATTAACTCATGAGGTTATGTTAGTTTGTGATGGTTTGAGCCAAGAGTTCGATATTATATCGAATGACGTAGTCTCTAAATCAGTCTATTACGGAAGTAACATCGGTGTAATTTTTTAAAAATGATCACTCATAGACTTGGTTAGGTGAGAATTTTTTTTTACTTCTGAATTACTGTAGTTAGTATGGATGGAAAGAAGGCATAAGTAGAAAGAATATTTAAAGGGGTCACGGCTGATTGGTTTGAATATGACATATTTGTTGGTTTTGAGCGCCTAGTGAAAGGGTGGGGACAGGGGGTTTTAGAGGAAATGAGGGAGTGCCAACTCCCTTAAGAGCTTTGGGAGGATAGGGTACTTAGGCGGCTAGGTGTC